CCTGAGGTGAATAATTGCTGGGGAGAGGGGTGAATAAAGTTGAGCTCTAAGGCAAAATTCGTACTAAGTCCAGTATGTAAGGGGTGAATAAAGGTGAATAATACAATGACCAAGTCCCCAGAAGTCCTGTTATGTGACATGTGTGACACATGGTCCCAGAAGGAAATTTTATCAATAGGCATTGGAACTGATGTTTCAGTGGCTGCGCAATGCCTTTTCACAGTTGTATAGAGTGACAAGTATACCAGATTTCCAAAAAAGGAAAATTTCACCATTTAATAGTCCAATCGTCAGAGAATTGTCACAAAATGATAGTTCTCTATCTATACAAACAACTTTCATTAAGTGATGTATAGTAGCAGCTGAATAGTTGTGCCAGCACACGCCAATCACTAGCTGATCTACAACTGATGAGATAATATCTCAATAACTAGAGTAGCTACAGAGCTAATTGAAGTATTACTAAGGATACTTGAATGAGAGGGTCAATATCCCCATCAATACCATGTCATCAGCATACCCATACTGCCTCATGATTATCTATCAGACATTTTGATCTGGCTATATCTCTGGCAGTTCTCTATGGATTCACATTATTATTTCACTAGTAGGTAGGTGGTAATATTGTCTTAATATAATCTGATATGACCATAGTCCCATGCCTTTAGAATATACTGTTATATCACTTTTCTGTAGTTTTTCTACCTCAAATTTGACCAGGTATAATGATGACCTGATATCTGGGTAGGAAATGCATAGATGACCATGGGGTCAGTTTTGCTATGGTTAGATGGACATTCCTGATAGCCCTACAAGCCACTCATATTTTTAGGCACCCTATATACCTGTCTATATGGCTCATATCCTATTAGTTCAATCTCCCAATAACTCACTCAGAGGTAAGGAATCTCCAATGAGATAAAGGTAGGAAGTAGAGGAGGGGTTGCCCTGAGAGATGGTATGCCTCCCATGATGTTTTATTCTTGAAATCTCCTGTTATTCTCCATTCTACATATTACTGCTCTGTCACAAGATATTAACAATACAGTTATGATCTGCTAGTTGATTGTGGATCAAAATAAGTCAAGTTCAGTCAATGAGGTATATACACATACCTACCTACTCTGATTGATGATTGTACATACCTGAATGGTGAAATGAGGCAGACAATCAACTGCAGGTTAGATGCAAAACTAGTTTACATGAATAGTGGGGTCTATAGACTGAGTATTGGACATTGAGATGCATGTATTGGGGTATTGGGATATATACTAGGACCCTGTACTGAAATTGGTTGGGGTTATGGCATGTGTTGCAGAAGGTAGCTAAAGAGAGGGTAGGTACCTATAGAGCAGAAGAGAGTGTCTTCGCTATTACAACTGGTCAGAAAATAATTTCAAGTATGATCCAAGACTTGATTGTAGGATGGTATACACCTTCAAATGAACCTGTCCAGTACTTGAATCAACCTCATAGCTATGATGGATCTCTCACAGTAGCATTATCAGTGTTATCTATTCCCAAAATGATGGGTTCACCATAGTATGGCCTGTGGAAGTCTGAGGAATTTCAGTATATTCAATGGTAGGGGTATGATCCACCTCCCATAAAGTGGTGCCCCTGCCTCTCTGGCATATCTCCATCCTGGGTTATGTGGCACCTAAGGTCTCCAACAATTGACTCATCCTAATACATGCTACAGCATCACTAATGGGTGGAATTATAATGGACTATCCTGTGATATCATATCACCTTAGATCATGAGATTCCATGCATAGGGTCCCAGGATATCAGCAAAATACTCCTTAACTTAGTGTTTACACATGCTTGGCACTAAATAGATCAAGGTAATAGGTCACAGATGATATGGAACATTAGGCTAAATAGGAGTAGGATAATATACCTTTCAAATGAGCTCTCCTCCAGCTTTATCCACTGAGGCCAGCTGGAGATCTAAGCCTATCTTCCAAAGTTGATGAAAATCAAATGCCACTGATGAGAGAATGCCTTGCATTTTTAGTGCCCAATTCAGTTTGGATTGGAAGTAGACATAGTCAAACATTGGCTTAGGGTATCTGAAGGTTCAAGTCAGCAGTCTTATCACTTTAAGCACCCACATATCCTCTTTCATGTGAATAAATGGTCAGTAGAGTGATTATATCATATGATGGTGATTAAATGCCATGTTCAAGTAATGATACTCTGAAAGGCCTTCCTGGTAGTACTGAAATCATGTATTTATATCAAGTAGTTATAGAAATAGAAGCCCATCAGTTGAACATCATCTAGTGATTGGACAGTTCTGATACTATTCAGCTGCCACTATACATCACATAATGAAAGTTGTTTGTATAGTCAAAATAGAGAACTGTCATTTTGTGACAATTTGTGACATTCTGCAATGATTGTGGAAATTTCCTTTTTTGGAAATTTCTCATATGTATCACTCTATGTTATAGTATATAACCATATGACATAGTCACTAAAACTACTAACTCTAATCTCTATTGACTAAAGTTCCTTTTTAGGGCGCCGTGTCACCTGTCACGTAGTGTGACTCCGGGAGACTTGGTCTGGATGACCTATATTGTATTATTCACCTTTATTCACCCCTTATATACTGGACTTAGTGCGAATTTTGCCTTAGAGCTCAACTTTATTCACCCCTCTCCCTAGCAATTATTCACCTCAGGGGATGTTCTGAAAATACTGAGCCTTGTCAATGGCACCCCGGCGGGTTACCACTGATAACTCACAGTGTTTTGTGGGCTAAACAGGTGTTACAATCATCATACCAAACAGATGAAGAGGATATGAACTTGCAGTCAAGAATTGAGGACAAGATAGGAGTTCAGCTAAGATACTCTTGCCAAAACTGGGGTGCACATTTGAACTCTATCAGACATGATAATCCAAGAGTACTGGAAATTCTTCAGTGTTTACAGAGATTTGTAGAGATCAAGATATTATTTTGGATGGAGACTATGAGTTTGACAAAGGGGGACTGTCGAATGGCACTTGAACAGGCACTAAGCTGGATATATAAGGTAGTTATTGAGAAAGTTCAAGAAGTGCAATGTTAACAAAAGCTTTAGACCCAGGGAACAGATATAATAAAGAATTACTTATACAGGGCCCAATCTTTATGGACATACTATATAAATGGCCCAGGGGTCTTATCAACCCCACATTTATATATAACTGGTTTAGCAGCAGAATTAGGGAGGAGGAGAGGGAGTTGTGTTTGGGAACAATATTTTCCCCAGCTGGTCAGAGTAAACTGTGAGAAGGTGGTTCTGAATAACCTCTTGGTAAATATAGAAGGTCACAAGAACTATATTACAGCAGTAGCATTCTCACCAGATGGCATAACAGTTGTTTCTGGCTCTTATGATAAAACAGTCAGGATCTGGAATGCAGCTACAGGAGCAGAAGAGCAGAGGCTGAATGACCACTCTGATTATGTAACATCTGTTGCATTCTCCCCAGATACCACAAAAGTGGTTTCTGGCTCTCATGACAAAACAGTCAAGATCTGGAATGCAGCTACAGGAGTAGAAGAGCAGAGCTTTGGGGGCCACTCTGACTATGTAACATCTGTTGCATTCTCTCCGGATAGCATGAAGGTGGTTTCTGGCTCTTGTGACAAAAGAGTTAAAATCTGGAATATAGCTACAGGAGCAGAAGAACAGAGCTTCAATGGCCACTCTGATCAAGTATGGTCTGTAGCATTCTCCCCAGATGGCACAAACATAGTTTCTGGCTCTAGTGATCAAACAATCAAAATCTGGAATGTAGCTACTGGATCAGAAGAGCAAAGCATCAATATCAACTCCTGTCATGCAACATCTGTTGCATTTTCCCCAGATGGCACAAATGTGGTTTCTGGCTGTGCTGATCAAACAATCAAAATCTGGAATATAGCAACTGCATCAGAAGAGCATAGCATGAATTGCAACTTTCATTATATAACATCTGTTGCATTCTCTCCAGATGGCACAAAGGTGGTTTCTGGCTCTCATGACAGGACAGTCAAGATCTGGAATGTCGCAACTGGAGTTGAAGAACAGAGCCTTGATCACTCTCATCATGTAACCACCAGATGGCGGGGAATCTTTTAAAAAATGAGTGTGATGACCGACGCGAAGCTTTTTAAAAAAGTCCCACTGAATAAGAGTCTGCCTTTTTTAAAAAATCCTTGGGCTGGGCCGCGACCCACGACGGTGCCAGCGACAACGGCTACCCTGCGTCCCTCGCCGCGCAGCGCGACGACGAGCAACCCATCAATTTGGCCATCAACTAAATCAGCTGCAAGCCCAATATGGAACTCCCGCCCGTCCACCTCCGGGTCCCTCGCCCGCCCGCCCGCCTCCGGGTCCCCCGCCCGCCGGGTCCGCCGCCCGGCTACTCTCGGCCCCGACCCCCGCCTTTTCCCGCCCACCCGTCCGACGACCACCGGTGCTCCCGCTACGCTTCCCAGTCCACCTATACCTGTCCATTCCAGCTTTTCCTGGTCCCCCCGCCCGCCTCCCTAGGCCCCGCCGCTCGCCTCCGGCTATATGCTGTCCCGCCCAGCAATCACGCCGCCCGGCTTTTACGGCCCGCGCGTCTGACGACCCCGCCTTCTTCTCGCCTTCTTCCTGAATTCTCCCCGCCTCCTCGTTCTCCCCCCCCTTCTCCCCCGCCTCCTCGTTCTCCCCCCCGCCTTCTCCCCCGCCGTTACCTGCCCGCCGCCCCGGCTGTTGCCTGACAATCATCATATGATGGATGTCGTTGACATGTCGTTGACATGGCGTTGACACGACGTTGACAATGCAAATGCCGAAGCTTCTCCGCTGACTCGCAGGCAGTCGTCGCCTACTTGGCCCTGCAGTCCATCCCACATACATAGCAGCAAAGCTTCCAAAGACAAGGTAATCTCGCTCGAGAACTCGCAAAATACATATATAGAGATGTACACATGTTATTTTATCAAACAATTTATCTGATGCCAAGAAAACTCACAGGCTGGAGCGGTCTGGAACGGGGCGGAAGGCTGCATCATCGTCCACATTCAGAGACAACGTCTCTCGAGAGGCAGAGGAGGAGCGATGAATGTCCGCGACCTGATGTAAACCCATGTCCACGAATGCAGGGATGTCTTTCCAATTGCCCTCGAACTGAGCACGACGCGCTAGCTGCAGATGAGCCTGACCGCTCGGCATATGCTTGAAGACCGGACATCAAAGATGGATCGACCCCTTGACGACCATTCCGCAGTTCCCCCCACCGCCCAGCCCGCCATGAGCAGAACTCCAGCACTCGTCTCATCTCTTCCTGCAGCAATTCCACCTCTTCGGCCCATCGCTTTGCCCGAGCCCGAGCCTTTGCCCATTCCACGCGCAGGCTTTCGTTGGTGGCCGCTATGGCTGCTTCCTCACTGGAGGCTGCTCCGGCACTAAGCGAATCGATAGCGAGCTCTGCTGGAAGTGAGCCCACACCCATCCTCCAAATCCACGACATCTCCTTCGGGGTATCATCGTTGCGCTTTCGTTTATGTCGTTCAGGGTCGGAGAACAGAGCGCGAGGCATAGCTCTTACGTCCGTTGACTGGAGGTCCTTGAGAACAGTTATCCATCCCCGCTCGCCCACTACCTCACTCAAGCTCATCATCGCGGCTCGCATTCGCCGATACTCGTCGGCAACGCGCCTGATCCTCTCATCTACCGCTTGGATGGCCTTTCCGGCTCGAGTATGGGCAGCAACGCCGCTTGCGTGCTTATCCTTGGCCTTGTACTTTTGTGTCCGCACCAAAAGCAAGCGTCGCAGCTCCTCCAGCAGATGTAGAGCACGACCATGCCGCAAATGGAACTCGTACAGCGCATGAGTCTGGCGTGGGGGACAATTGGGACGCGAAAGGACCTCGGAGGGGAGCAGCAATTGGAGGCGGTACAGAGCTGAGCCGCGGGTGGTCTGGATTTGGCCGCTGTGGGCTTGGAGAGATTCCTCCGCTGCGCGCAAAGCGGTTATTTCGGGTGCGAAGCCTGTCTGCGTGTCGAACCAGCTCACAAACTTGCGTTGGAGCTTTGCCTCCCTCTCGTTTATCGAAGACTTCTGTAACGCGGTTGCGTGGAGTCCTAGACTTGCCGCATCACTGGCCAAAGCCTGTCGTTGCTCCTCGAGGGTCAAACCCATGGCGATGAAGTCGGCAGCATGAAGGTCGTCGTGGATGTCAAGGTCGGCGTCTGGGACAGAGCGGAGGGGATGAATGGGAGTGGTAGTGAGGTTTTTCAAGCGGGCACGTATGTCTTGGAGTGATTCGACCTTGGATGTCACATTGAATGGATTTGTCTGCGTCGAGTCTGCCTCCCATTTTGTCATGATCTCGTCCCCACGTCTCTATCACCTCGATGGGCAAGACTGCTTCCAATTCCGCCAATTCCAGCCTTGTGTCCACCATCTCCGTTACCGCATCCTTCATTTTTTCGAGTAATGATTTGCCCATGCCGATTTCTTGTGATTCCAGTCGTTGAAATGGTCGTCGATGGTATCGCGACGGGAACCAGGGCCCATTTCCCGAGTACTTGATGCAAGAGGGTTAGCGTTTGCCCATCCGCGTTCGGGGGCTTCTCCGTCTGTTCGGCCAACGTTGGGTGTAAGGTCAAACGAGTAGTCAATGTTGCATCGCTCTATATGAGCAGGGAGATGGAATTTGGGAATCAGGAAGACGTAGCGGCGGCGGCTTGGTAGCTTTGCCGCGTCCTGCAATTCTGGTCGGTACTTAGCGACACGGAACCACAAATTTTTGCTCCATTGGCAGGCGATATCGTACGAGATAATGATGTCGATGAGATTTGCGTATGGAGATGGGGAGAGACTTTTAAGGAGCATATAGTCCATGTTTATATACCTAGAATGGTAGTCAGTGGATGTCAAAACTGAGCCAAGCCACTTGCCGTTCGCCCTTCTGTAGGTCGCCGACTCCATTCGGCCGCTTCATGTTATGTCGAGCGCAATCGACTGTGCCAATGCCTGACGATGCAGTACCGCGCGACTCGCGATCTGGCTCATTTACGGCGTCATGTGAGACACAGGTACTTTTCTGTTATCATCGTCAACCACGCGTCATAGGAAGCGATGTCCAAACTGACCTCCTGTTCGAGTCCCCAATGCTCTTGTACATGGGCCATATATGGAGCCACATCGCTGAAGAATGCGGCTCCCTGATTGAGACCCGGATCGGCGTCCTCAGAGGAAACTTGCTTCCTCTTCATCTTGAAGTTCGCATCAATAGCCAAGAAGAGCGAATACAAGTACCGCTCGTTCGGTGGGGCATCCTGCCAACTGTTGTCTCTTGGAAGGTTGATCCCCGGCTGCGGACAGGTGGGACAGAGCAATGCACAGGCCCCGGCGGGTATATTCTCTGTTCCTCCAGACTCGTGTCCTCTACCGCTCCGCTTGAGCATTTGCAGGAAGCGCCATTCGCGAGACATGGCCAGGAACTCGCGATAACGATTCTGCCAAGTAAGAGTCAGAATGACTATCGTTATGAGTGAAATAAGGCACTTACACGAGGCTGGAAAATGCCATTGTTGTTTGTCAGCCGAGCAAGCCCATTGTAGAACTCATACGCTGAGCACTTGGCCTCAAATGAGACGAGATGGAATAAACGAAGCACATTGAAGGTTGCTGCCGTTGTAAGGGCAACCTCGCGAGGCTCGAAATCAGAGTCCTGAGCAGAGGGGGAATCCTTAGTGAACTACTACAACAGGAAGGGACGCTACAGACTCACCTGAGCAGAGGGGGAATCCTTAGAGAACAAGCCAAGGAGCCCTCTGCCCAGGTGCACTACTATATACTAGTGACCGGAGTAATGATAGAGTGACTGCGTGGCGACGGATGACGGGTTGGAGAAGTCAGGTGTCGCTAATGGACCCTAGGTGAGTGTCGAGTAGCCCTCGAAGCTCCGGAGAGGCAGGTTTGGGACCGTGATGCCAAGGGAGGGGCCCAGGCATCCCTAGAAGGCCCAAGAAGGGCTTCGGGAGGTCCAGGCTGCCTCTGGGCGTCTCCGCTTGTGACCGTGACGTGACAACCGGAATCGGAATCGGAATCGGAATCGGAATCGGAATCGGAATCGGAATCGGAATCGACTCCGGGTGTGTGACCGTGACGTGACGGCCGGAAACGGAGAGGGAAGGCGTGGAGCGGAAAGGGAAGGAGTCTGGTCTAGCCCAAGGGCCGGGGAGTGTCGAAGAGGACCAATGGGAATGGCGGCCAGCCATGACCACTGGAGGGTAGCGACAGGGGGTCACTCGGAGACGTCCCCGGACGTCTCCAGAGAGGTGGAGGTGTGAGGGCGTGCAGCCTGGGGCGCTGCAGTAGGCACGAGCCTTAACGGCAGTAGGCCTCACCCAGGGGAAGACCCGATGACGGGGGGCCGTGGTGGCGGAGTAGAGAGCGGAGCCATCGCAAAGCTCAGCCATCCGAACGTAAGCCCGAATGCTGACATAGGTTGGGGACACCCAAGAGGTCCAGCAGATAGAGATGGTAGGGAGACCTTGATAAGTAACAGCCCGGAGAGGCCAGAAGGCCATAAGCTCAAGGTCTCGGAGGGAAGTGGTGCATCCACATCCGGAGAGGTCTCCGATGGCGTTAGTGATCCATGATGGTGATTCCGGATGGACTTCCGGAGGGGAGTGGCCAGGGAAGTCGAAGACTCGGGATCACTGGATGTGGGATGTGGTGCAGGCAGTGGAGGGAGGGAGAGTGTTAGGGTGCGGAGACGCGGAGACGCGAGCAGAGACGCGGCGCTTGATGGGATCAAGTGACGGCATCAGGGGTTCCCCTGACAGCCGTTTGAGGTCTGGTAGTCGTGGCAGGGAAAAGACGAGCGCGAAGGAGTTGTGTGGTCCGCTCCCCAGCCGAAGGACAACCGCAGAAATCAATTGAGATGTCGTGAACGCCATTGCAGTCAACAACGCAGAACTCGTCGTCGTGGGATTGAGTTGGCCCAAGGGTGGCAAGACGAGCCAACGTTGCAGGGCATTTTGTACCGATTGGATGGCCAAGTTGTACACGCTGACCCAATGCCTTCAGCGTTGTGGGCTGGAAAAAAGACCCCGTCCAACGCTGAGAGGTTTGAGTAACACGTTCAAGACGGTTAAGAAGCACAGCAACTCACGTCAATACGGTGGAATGGTAGCTCCTCATGTTGCCGAAGAATACAAGCATCGCAAAAAGTTGAATCCACAGACATGAAACAGTGGCGACAACGAAGTGTGCCCGGACTGGCTCCACATTGGTGACAAAGATCGTGGAGGGGAAGGCCTTCAAGACGGAGGAGCTCGTCCAAAAATGGGGCGACATCGTTTCTGGCCCAAACACTGAGAGGTCGGTCCTGGAAATAGGTTAGAGATCTCCTGGAACGTTGTGCTCAAGACTTTACCGAGCTTCGTGGCTGTCGCTTCTCTGTAGGATGACCATCGTCGAACTCAAAACCGCCGTCTTTGGCCCATTGGTTAGTTTCAGCCTCGAGAGTAGCTAGAATGTCGGCAGCACGAGTGAGGGCCTCCGACGGCGGAATCTTGGAATGCTGGCTTGTTCGCTTTCGGGGTGAAACCATAGTTGGAAGGGTTTCCGTCCTCGTTCGGAGCTGGCCACCATTGGCGATTGAGATGTCATGGCGGAGAAGGCCAATACGAGGCAATGGCTCTTCCTCGTCGTCGTCGTCGTCGCTGTCATCAAACACCGTACGGGTGGCTCGAAAACTGAACTGGGGGCATGTTGTTACGTGGACGAGGAGGGGGAGAAGGTACACTTCTTGAAGATTGGTTTCATCGCAGAAAGATAGGCACAAGCTGCACGATCACATGCCCCAGCTTTTTTTAAAAAAGCAACTGTCAACTACGAGGGGCCTTCACGTTGCAAAGGAACCTTGAACAACTGACCTCGCGACCTTGCTTGGCTATTTCTTGGCTCTCCCCAAAGGGCTAAAAGGCCAATTGCTCACCACGACTAAATTTCATGGCGAACAACGACCTGCAGCTGGGCGAAAACTTCCTCAATACAGATGCTCTTTTTTTTCTCTCTCGCTATCCTATACCGTATGCTCACAACATTTCATTGTGCTTCGTTGTCTGATGTTCCTCCCGATACTCATATGATTCTATCAACGGCACCATACCATTGGGTTATCTTAACGCGAGAGACCACCCAGAAAGCCCTGAATCCGACTCTGACGACGTCATTCCTGACTTGGTCCCAGCCGACAGCGATATACTTGCGATGGACGGCTTGTCAATTATAGGCGTCAAACCCTGGTATCTTTCTTCAAGTGGTGTTCTCAGTACCGACATGTATGTATTACTTTTGGACATACAAAACCATCAGCTAATCATTTGTAGGAATGAAGTCTTCCAACGCGCCCCCATCGCAATGGGTGTGGACGACAAAAGCTTAGCAGAGCTCACCCGTCAACCAGTCTACGTCGCAGCCAATTGGGATATGGTGCTGGCCTACTTTGCACTCTTGCCGCAGCTCAAGACCCATTACATCGAAACTGGGGGTGTATTTGCAAGACATAAGCCCCTCTACTTCACAATCGATGGACAAGATCGAGTCTTCAGTGGAAAGTGAGGGTGTCGGTTTAACCCGTTGTAGAGAGCTGACCCTCCACCGAAAGCTTCACTCCTTTCTCGTGAGCAAAGGCAAATGACATTATCCGTGTACATGCAACCAGGGAGAAAGCACAAGAAGCCATCGACAACGACATGCGGCGGAGAGATGGAATCAAAAGGGAGGATGAAGATATGAATAGTAGAATAATGGCGTTGTAGGGACAATGTATTTGAAGAGGTATTCGAAGAGGTATTCGAAGAGGTGTGTGTATTCGAGGAGGCGTGCGGGATCGAAAAAGCGTACAAGAAAAGTGCATTCGGAAGACGCGGATGAGTCCTTCTATCCATGACAGGAGAAACTGGCCAGGAATAATCAGCTTACTGAACTGGATCGTTGAAATACCACGCACCAACGGAGGCCACTCTACCGGGGTTGTTGGCAAGTAACGCAGAAGTGGAGGACGGGTGGGCCATGGAACGGCAGAACCTGAAACAACAAGGTCAGGAGGAGTATCGTGAGGAGGGGGGACACACTTGTCGGGAACTTGAGGCAGGAATACGAAGCACAAACTTGAGTGGCCGAAGGCTAACCTGGAATGACAGGGTCAGTAAGCCTCTTGCAAGAGATAACACACACCTGTCAAGAGTGTGGGGCTTGTTAAATGGCTGTAAAATTTGCAGGAATGAGATATAAATACATAGATATGAGAAGGTTTCTCATACCTTTGCGAGAGACTGGTGTCGTCCAGCAGCCAAGCCGACATCTCCAAGAGAGCTCGAAATCGAAAAGGGAGTAGGACAGTAGAGGATTATGTTGCCACGGAGAGACTGGGGAAACCGGCCAGAGTCAACGGGCAAGAAATTATGGCGATATAGTGTGCATGGAGTCGGATTGAAAGACAGAGTAAAGCCTGCGATGTAAGCTCAGATGCAGTATATAAGTCAGGTAAGTGTTCAAACCTGAGTTGGGGCTTCGAGTTGGACTCAGAGAAACACCCGTATCAAAGGGGGCATCGAGGATGGACGAAGACGGAGGAAAGGAAGGGATGCGCTGGCAGTCACCCAGTGTGACAATAACTGGTCGGGCCGACATCCCTTAGGGGGATTTCCTTTTTAGGTACAGAAGACTTTCGCAATCGCTCTGCAGACGACGGTCAAGGTAAAAATGCAGTGGTGTATTCAATTTCGTCGCATTCAATACTATACGCCCATACAAAAAATAGGCGAAAGAGAGAACTTTTTTTATCGCTGACAAAAGTCGGTCGCCGATTTTATCTCATAAAATGGTGTAGTGGTCTTGAAAATGATACAGACGAGCTCAGTAGCAGTGGCGCAGCATGAATATACGGAAATCTGTGGCAATATGTGAGTTTGAAATAGTTGAGTCTGTTTTATGCACACAAAATTTGGCGTAACACGGATTGATCTTGCAGTGTGAGATGTCCTCGTTCGTCCCAACCTTCATGTCACTTCGCTATGGCCATTGCAACAGCTAACCGGCGGCGCAGTAACATTACTGTCGGCTTCTCTATCACTCGCTGAAACCCATTCAGAGCATGAGAAGGCGGAGTGGACACCTAAGAACCATTTGGCAGAACAGAGATCCAGGGCACACGCAACCTACCGCACTCGGCTTGTACTGTCCCTCATCTGAGTCATGTTAGCTCACTATACCCTACAACTATAGGCACGCGGCCTCGATTCGAGAGCGCAACAGAGCCTACAAGGCCAAAGAACGGTCAGTCAACTTTGACCAGGTATCTTTCCCTTTCCACCTAAATATTCATAGGCACGCTGCAAGGGCTGCACGACAATCTATTAAAACACCACTTCAACGGCGCAAATCGACCACTACAACTTCCGCCAATGCCCCCACCGCATTGCCCAACCTTGCATCCTCAAATTCCGTCTCCAAGACCAAGAGAAAAACTCTTCAAGTTCTCCATTCGTAGGGAATGGCACGGGTATACCCATGGGTATCCGAGGGCCTACCCGCACCCATACCCGCACAGCGGGGTCACGAATGGACCATTCGTGACCCCACTCTCCATAGGCTTGGTTCCGTTGTACTCATGCGACAGACAGGGCTTCTTCGGTTTGCAGCTATCGACCACCTGTACCTATCGCTGACTCTGCGTGTTTTGAGAACGCGACCATCCTATCTTGCCCGAGATCTCAGGTGGCTTCTGACTGGGATGGAGATGTATAAGTTCGCCAAGTTCAGCCCTCACCACTCATCTCACTGGGGAATACACTCTAGGATATCAACAATTGCGTCCTTCGAAGGCCTCGCCTTGCGAATCGATAGTATGTATGTCCAAAGGGGAGTAAGCCTAGACATCGTCCCAGCATCTCCAGATGCACAGCCGCTTGAGTCCGTCTTTCCTCTTCAAACTATCATCACATCCTTACATGCCTGCTATTCAGCTATATGGCGGCCAGACGACGTTGGCGCAATTTCAGTCGCGGGTCTCAAGCTTTCTGGGCGAAATCATTTACGCGTAAAGTCATCGCCGATCTCATGAATCATGTCAATCAACTGCCTCCCGGAATCACGCCTATTACACCAGAGCAACGACAAGAATGGCTGTCTCTTCACGAGTTGACCTTGACCGGAACTCAGTACGACCAAATGCGTGTATGGGTTCTGAACAACGTGCGTGTGCGCGGGCTTTCCGCCAACTGATCAGGAGGCTGCAGCTTGGAAACAAGTCCGTCCCACTTCCTCAAAATATCTAAAACAGGGGAAGGGCGAGGAGATTCAAAGATGGCGTAACCAGGTCGCCGAGTAGACAGAATCTTTGATATATCACCAGAAAAAAACTTTTGCGACGATCAGATTGATTTGCGAAGGACTACAATGCTACAACGACGTATTACTTGGCAGCGGCAGTCAGAACCTGAAGACGCTCGAGCTTGGCAGTGCAGTCAGCACAGAGCGCATTAGGATGGCGCACTGCCGGTGCGTTAGGATCCGGCCTAAATGTCCTCAGTGACGGTAATTCAACGTCGGCCTTTGACGTACATTTCAAGCTCGTTGGAGTTCACGAGCTTCTCGATGAGGCCCTCTTCATACGACGTCGTGTACATCGCAATTGCCGCAGGATAACCGCGGACCCTCATACGAGTATTGCCGGGAACACCCTCCACGAGGACCGTAGCATCGGCCCTACAGTCAAAGCTTCGATCAACGATGCACTAAGGAAACACAAGAAACAACGTACGCGCTAGCATAAATTCCGGGCTCACGCCCAACAGTGACAACGTGGTAGTAGACGTCGCGTCCTTTCGACGGCACTGAGGCTGCGACAACTTCCGGAGTACGGGCAGGGACCGAAACAAAAGCAGGGGGGTCAACCATGACCCCATCGGTCAACTCTAATGTCCATGGTATTAATACAATGCTTGATGTTGAAGGAAACGACCATGACTCACCCTGGCCCGAAGTGACCGACAAATTCGAGGAGACTGAAGATACTAGAATCAAATTGTCAATGAGAACTGTTCGCGAAGCCAGCAATGGTGTACTTACTATCAACGGCGCTGGCGGCGCTGCTCGGGGGGTGGTTGGCGTCCAGCACCTCTGCAAGTGCAGCTGCGACCAACTTGTCCAGTTGGGCGGGAAGCGAATCTGAAGCCATTTAGCCAATGTGATTGATAAACTAACGCGCACACCTTTGAGTATATCGAGACGCTGGACGAGTTCAATGACGGCCTCGGTGATGTCTGCCAGCTCTGCAACCACAGCGACCAAGTCAGGCTTGATGCGGAGAGGATGTCTTTTGCAGCCATGGGATGAGGGAAGAAGAGAGGGGGGTGAGAATCAAGAAAAAATCAGACCACCTGCTTATTAGCTTGGGCTGGGTGACATTTGGGGGCGACGCTAGTACCGGTTCACGGGAGGGACAAGAGGTCAGACGACTTGACTCGTGTGCTTGGAGGTGCTTGGGCAACACAACGGTGTTATCGGTGATGGGAGTGCGATGGATGACGATATCTCCAGCGA